AAAAATTATTTTATATATTATATTTCAACATAGGGGTTTTGTTCTGTATGCTTCAATGAATATTTTCGAACAAAAAAATCCCCACTCACGTATGATGTGAAGGAATTATGGATTTGTCTTTGCGATCATTGTGTAAAGTCATTGCTGGCCACGAAATGGATACCCATTTTGGGAGCCGCTGATTATGGGGTCCCGCGCGACGCTTCGACAAATCCATGGCTAGAACTCATGGCTGCTTTCACACTGATTATTTTTCTACCAGTTAGCACTGAAAGCCAATGGTTAATATTTCAAGAAAAAGATCAGAAATGTGTTGATAATTTTAATTGATATATTTGTTACTCATATTTTTCTGAATAATCAACACTTGACAATGTTACAAAAAATAAAGTCATAACACACAAGTCATGCTTTTTAATATTCATATTTTGTTTCAGCCTAAAGTAAATCTTTGACTATCTTCTTACGAAGAGGTATGACCTATGATAACTTACGATATTGAGTGGTGACATTCTTTAGACTGATAAATGACCTTTTTATTAGTGTATTACAAAGATCTACACATTTCCACTGGGTAAAATACTTTTTGATTTTCACAGAACAATTTTGAAGATAAAAAAAATTGCTGATGCCTCCATCATATCACCAAGAAAATAAAGGTGGAAATAAGTGGAAACATGAAATAAAATCTTTCAGACTATCTACTCATCTTTTACCAATGATAATGGTTGGTAAATAAATAAATTTCATACAATCACTTCATATACATATGAATTTATTTATGAAACAATAATAATAATGAACACTTTTGACTTAAAGAGTTGATGTTTCAAGATATCTGGTTATTAATGAAAAATTGATATTAAAAAAAATATATACAATTTAATTTAATAACATATAAAGTGGGGCATTGAATGAATTGAAACTGAGAGTTTCTTATTTTACTGTTTTTAATATTGTAGAATGTATGCAGTACCTACTTTTTGCACACCAGAATTGTCGATTATTAAAGAAACACATACTTTGTGAAGTATACGTTTTCTGGAATTTTTTAGAGCTTTCAATTCAATTAAATTATTTTGATATGTAGAATTGAAACTACTGATATAAAATGAATATATCGAAAAGTTTTCCCGCGCCAGAACAAAAACGTGTCATTCGATACGTGTTTTGCGAAATACATCAAGATATAACTAAAACTGTCATCTTCTACAGTGGGAAAGTACATTATTTTGTTTTGAAACCTCCTGTTATATAGCTTATTTTGGAAATCTCCAAAAAAATAACAATTAGTATTTATTTTTGTCAGATGCAATTTATAGGCACTGTTCCTGAACTGAATAAATATTTCCAAAACAGCTACGATACACAGAAAAAAAACAAATGATAATGTGAAAAAGTATTTTTTTTATCTGTAATTTGTTGTTTTTATTTGATCTCTGTTACTTGTGTATCATATTGTTTATTTGAAATTTTTGTTATTAGATAATCTTTATTTTCTTATTTCATTAGAATAATATCGGTTTATTTTTACATCAAATATAATTTTCATACCTAAAGATGGATCATCAATGTTTGAAAATGGTAGCGTTTTCTCTATAGAATCAATTTCGTAAGATTTAAAAAATTGCTTCTCAAGTATTTACTATATTGTGTTGCATAGAAAAAAACATATTAAATAATACGTATACATCACTGAAAATGTTTCGGCAATGTTTTAGAACAATTATGTAATATATAGATTGTAAATGTGATACATTACAGATACATTGAATCAACATAACAGTTTCTGTCTTGTAACATTGTTATCTAACCTACGCGCATATTCAACTATAACATCTATCTAACACCCTTGTGATGCACTGTTTGGAACCTTTGATGGAGTAATGAATATTACTGGAGTTTTATCCCAACACCAAACCGTTATTTCATCACCTCTGGAGATGAAATAATGATGCACTGTTTGGAACCTTTGGTGTAGTAATGAATATTACTGGAGTGTTTTGCCAACACCAAATCGTTATTTTTAACACCTCGACACGTGATTCGATCACCAAGTGATCATCTTCAAAGAGGAAGATTAAAACTTCTTTTTAATCTTCCTCTTTGAAGATTAAAAAGAAGTTTTAATCTTCCTCTTTGAAGATGATCACTTGGTGATCGAAACACGTGTCGAGGTGTTGAAAATAACGATTTGGTGTTGGGAAAAAACTCCAGTAATATTCAAGAGTTTAGTTCAATTTTTTTCTTGAAGATGATCACTTGGTGATCGAAGCATATGTCGAGTGCTGAAATAACCGTTGGGTGTTGGGATAAACTCCAGTAATATTAATCTATCTAAGATACATGTCAATCCGAGTGCAATGTAACATGTAAAGTTGTAATGTAATTGTTTTTGTTGGTACAATGTGCGAAACAAAGTTTACCAACAGGTTATTTCATTATACATTCTTAAAATTCATATCCACGGACAGTTAAAAATGCTTTCCTATATATTGAGAATGAGCGGGTCGTAAAAACTCTGTTGGTCAAGTGTTCTCTATGAAAAATAGGTAATAATTTACCTTCGTGAATTATCAATGCAATGCTGATCTGGTTGCAGAATTCTGCCCACGTGATCTTTGAAAATCTGGTAATAATTTATCTGCGTAAATTATCAATGCAATGTTGATCTGGTTGATGAATTTTTCCCATGCGATCACAAATGAATTTCACAAATAAAAATTCATCATTGTAGTATTTGAGTCACTTTCTTCAACAATGGTGTAAACGACTCAATTCTAGTCTGATTATATTATCGAAATCAAAGTACACGATAAAGTAAAAGCAACCATTTTTTTCATTTTCATTCCGCAAGCTTCAGCTTGCGGAATTTAAATCTATGTATAGAAGTTTCAATATAGTTATTATACCTTCAACTATGAAATCTAACATATGCAATATAATAACAACACTTCCAAAATACAAATCATGAAATTATAAAACAACAAAAATTATTTGGCGCTCCGGGGCGACTTCATTGATTCCAGTGGCGCATTTGCTCTTTCAGCTACAGGAAAATCCGAAAAAACCTGCGGCACCACATCATCTGATGATTTACTATTATAGTTTGATTATAGTGATTCCTTTCCATTAAATTAATGATCTGAAATTCTAAGTCGTTGCGCTTCATAGCAATCAGTGAATTACTTATAAAATGGGAAATGAAGTGGTGATTGATAATGAACACAAGAGAAAACTCTACCATTCTAATGTCTTCTCGATACGCCAATGGAACTCAAAAGTAATTCACTGACGCAGGCGCTGTGTCAGACCCGTTTCACGCCCTAGATAAAGAGTTCACTATCGGAGTATAATATGTATAACCTAACCTATTTGCGTCTAAACAGTCTATCATGATTAATAAATAACCATCATTTACTTACAGCTGCTCGTTCAATTCCACTATTTTCTAAAATAGATGCAACTGTTGTTTTTCACACGCTTTTACTCACATAACAGAAAACAAAACTATTTCTAATGATAATACAAATGGGAATATACCTACTATTGCCTACATTTGCTGATCACTATTCAGCGGCGTGTTCTTTTATTTTCGGATGCGTTGATATTCTTTGTATTTCAAGGACGGTTGAATGTTGAATTAATTTCAGTTAGGTATACGAGTACCGCAAATGATAAACCAATGCCAATAATTTTCTGAGAGAAATAAATAGTTAACGCCATAAACGTATGTTATGTAGAAAATAAAATTGTGTGTTCATTACGGAAAAATAAAGTGAATCCAAGTTATGGAGGATGAATGGAGGCGAATTTCAGAGATGGAAAATGGTTTTCCAAGATTTCCACTGAAACAAGACCACCAATTGAAGAAAGATGAATACAAAAGTTATATAAAAACTTACCTTTTTGTGTTAATGATAATTTCTGTTTTTCAATGAAAAAATTCTGAATAACACTTCATTTTGATTATAAATTAATAAAAACTTACCTTTTTGTGTTAATGATAATTTCTGTTTTTCAATGAAAAAATTCTGAATAACACTTTATTTTGATTATAAATTAAAAATATGTTTCGTTTTTTTTAAATCAACTATGGTATTTTTTCAAGCGGACTCCCGTACCTTGAATCGGCTTCAATTTATTTTTTCTGTTATGACCCCAATATTTTCTACCCTATCTAATGATTTTTATGCTGTCATTATTGTTTCAATAATGTTTCAATAATCAAACCTAATGCCTAGGTAAAACAAAATCTGTTTAAAAAAAATCTGTTTAAAATCTGTTTTTCCGTTAATCAGCTATCCTACAAAAGTAGGATAAAATTTGCTTTTAAAGTGTGACTTTCATTAGTACAGTGAGATCTGTAAAAAATAAAATAACGTAAGAACTTGGAGAAAATACGAGTGAAAATTATCATAAATATACGATTCTTATATTCAAATTATACTATATTCGATTTTCTTGAGCAGAGGAGTAATAAATCATTTTCAGGTGTCTGTTAGGTTAGGTTAGGAATCACACGTTAAAAGGTAAGACCTCGTTAGTCCTTAGCTCGCACAAGTTTATCAACTTCTGAGAGTTGTCGTTCGTATGGAGGGCGACAGCTCAAAAGACTTTTTGAAGTTGTATGTATACGGTGAGTAACAAAAATATGGAACACTCGCATCAATACATTTATTAATTGATCACCCAAAACTGACTTAGATTTTGAACACTTTTTATGGAAAGCACTCTTGAATGTATCACATATCTGGCATAGCAGGCAATTTTCGCTGGAAATGAGGTAAGTAGTTTATTACCTAAAGAATATGAAGTGATGACAATAATCTTAATCGAATGTGCTTTTACTGTTAACGAAGTTAGAAGACCTAGAATTTCCAGGCTACATCTAGGTCTTCTAACTGGAACCACAAGTGTGCGATTGGCTCCTGTTGTTGACTCAGTGCGTTTGTGTTGTTTCCTGCTTTCGGCAAACAAGTGTTGCCCATCTTCACACTTGGCTGCACCGCGCTGATGAGGCCAATAGCCAGAAACACGTATCCGCGGTTTGCCCCCCTGTTTGAAGTGTTGTATCCACGAATTTTTCATTTTTGATTTATATCATGCACACTCGATAAAATCTCTATTTGTATTCATATCCTGGACCCGGAAGTCACGCAGGTAGCTATAGCTGCCTACGTGGTCATGTTAGATGTAGCCTAGGAATTCTAGGTCTTCTAACTGGAACCACAAATGTGCGGTTGGCT